GCCGCCTTGCAGGGTCTGATTATGGGCGCAGAGGGACTCGGCGGAGAGGCCGTCACTGCCCTCGGCCGCCGGCTGCCGCGTGAGCTTGGAGGGCCGCGTGAAGATGCCCTGCAGGGGTTGGCACTCGAAGTAGCGCACGCCGCCCACCGAGCCGTCGTTCTTGCCCAGGAGGTCGTTGAGGATCACCCCGGCCCACTGGCCCGGGGCGAACTGGGTCTCCCCGAGGTAGGCGATGACCCCGGGTTTCACGCCGTTCACCCACACCTGCTCGCCCACCGTGTAGTCGCCCGCCACCTCGTCGCCCTCCTCCGACGCTTTGGGCGGCGTGCTGGGCTTGACCGGAGCATCTGCAGGCCAACAACATCACAATTAAAGCACTGGACCGGGGGACAAAATAACAATGGCAAAGTAAGACACTTTTACTCCACGCCGCCATAATGTGGAGGCAAAGAGAACAAAAGTTGGCATTGCATTTATTTGAGGAAACCTCAAGCGGCGTGAAAAACAGTGCCCACATTGTGAGCTTCTCCTCATCAATCCCCTTTGACCGTGTCGTCGTGCCGGCAAAAAAAAAAAAAAAAAAAAAAAAAAAAAAAGGCAAGACGTGTGTGTGTCAGTGTGCAGCACAACGGCGCAGATTGTGTCGCCGGACTCTAATTGGGACCCGAAAAGTGGGTCAGTGAGACGCATCTGCGGTTCAACTCGTTCATTCTTCGCCCGTTTTCTCTCACACACACACACACACACACACACACACACACACACACACACACACACACACACACACTCACATTAAATGTGAGTGTGTGTGTGTGTGTTTGAGTTTTGCTGCCCGCTCCACACCACCCCGAGTTGCAAACCTGCCCGAGGCTTTGTGGCCCCAATGCTGGAGGTTTATGCCCCAATTGCTGCCATATGTTGCTGTTGTTATGGAAATGGGTGACAAGTCACTCACCAATACTTCAAAATACGCGCATCCTCCTCAAACTCGCCCAAAAGGGACTCGCTATGGCACCCCCTAATACTGAGAAAAATAAAACCTGGCAAAACCTGTGTAGAAATAATATATATAGAAATATATATGAATAAAACCTGACTTCCTGTTCACCGAAAGTGAACAGAAGGTCAGCCATTTTGGTTTGAAGCTGCCATTTCGGGGTAAATTTCAAGCTAAACGCTTGTACGCAACCATCCGGGCCTCCGATTTATCTTGCTGAGGCAACACGAGGGGGCTTGGGCTAAAAAGGGAGCCAACCCGGAGCGAAGGCTCTAAACACAAGCCTCCACTTTGACCATTGTGCTCGGGCAATGTGAACAGGCGCCATTCACCCCCCCCCCACCCCCTTCTCTGCGCACAATGAAACCTCCACATAACTTTCTTCCATCTCCCAGCGTTGGCAGTGGACACACCTCTCGCCACCGGCCCGCCTCGGTTATTTACAAGCGCTTCAAATCCAGTCGCGGACAGCGGCAGATGGAGGAGGCCGAGCTAAAAGATCAAGTTGGGGCTATTGACGACACAGCTGGCGTTTTTTTTTTTTTTTGCGCAGGTGTCGCGATTGAGCCGTTCTTCATTTGTGCGGGGCAAGCGTTGAGCTACATTGGAACAAACGTGGAAAACAACAACAAAAACACTTGAGGCACATCAAGTTGAGACCACATGAGGAACACATTTTGGTCGGGTGTATTTTTCAGCTGTCAATAACTATGAGCATATGTAAGCATTTTTTTTCTTTCGTTAACCGTGGTTCCATCCTCGTCGCACAGATCCCAGCTCGGAAACAGATGTTAGGCCGCGTGCAACGTTTCACGGATTATGTTTCTGATCCCCAACTGTGGATAGCTGTAACGTGATGCCATTTAAGCCGACGGGCACAAATAAAGAAAAATGACCTCTGGAAGGACACGCGGAAAATCAGCTCGAGAAATTGCGAAACCTACCGGTCGTAAAACAAGACATGCTACCAAATGACCGGGGTCATGCTGAGGGCGGGCCCAACACTAATATCCACCTGGGGCGCATCCAAAGCAAGGAACCCCCCCCCCCCGACGAAAATGTGTTTGAGGCAAAAACTTTACAATAGTTTCGCATTTTTCATGACAACATTTAATTAGTTTGAACGAGTTTTTAGCGATGGTTTTGTTCGTTGCGTTATTTATTTGCAAAAGGCTTCATTTTAGTTTAGTTGTATTCGTTGGAGTCATAATTTTAGGATTCAAGCGGGAAGCTAACAGTCAGCGTTATTCACGTACAACCTTTTACAGGATGTCTTCGCTACGTGGGATTAGTCGCCAATCACTTTAGTACTTAATAATCATTAGCACGACACAATGGGGACCAACTTTATAAATAGTCCACATGATTACAACGTTACCATGGCTGAGCGCAAAGTGTCGCGCGGATGCTAACATGACATCAAGGCTGTAATTTAGCAGCTAACGCGTGGGAAGCAGCTATGTTTACATTGAGCAGGCTGGGATTTCATACGCCCATTTAGCGACAATTTCTACTACATTCGTTTGTGCGGTTAAAACTAGCAAACTCATTTTCCGGACACTTTGTGAAGTGCTGGTGGACGACAGACTGAGAAAGGCTTGGTGAAATCTTGGCAAACATTCAGCTCAATTTTTTTTTCCCCCCCCAGAATGGAGCGAGTACAACTTTTGTCTTCAAAGCTCAAGAACTGAACAATGAATAAAGGGTTTTACGAGGGTTACAGTAATTATATAACCATGACGATTATGTAGCGCATCATGTGTATTCCGCGAAATTGCGTGTCACGCAGCACAGCTGTGAGTCAGTAAAAAGCAATGACGACCAGACGTTTTCCTTCATTTTTCCCAGCGGGGGAGGGCGTGACTTACTGTCTTTGAGGGGCACGGGGGAGCAGGAGGTTGCGTTCCTTCCCATCGGGCTGGAATGCTTGGGCCCGCGGCCGGGGATCTTCAGACCGCTGGACTTGAGCATGTTCATGGTTTATTTGATTTAAAAAAAAAAAATGGTGAAGGCACTAAACTTGAAGGTGGTGACCGCCTCCCTCCATGTTTTGCAGCTGTAAACGTAGGAAAGGTTATTAGACAGGAAGAGGGAATGCCGCTAAAACCAACAAAAGGCAGCAGAACAGAGAGTACGAATGAACCGTTAGCCACCATGACTGGAACATACACGATGGACATGTTTGGATATTTTTCAACCGCTGGTTCATTCTACATTAGACAGATTTTAAGGGGCGTTCGCGACTAAAATAACGTGCAAAGAAAGAAGAAAAAGGAAGAATGCAGTTTTCGGTTTTTAATGCTAGAAGAATAAAGTTAGAGTTCGTTCATGGATAATTGTCATAAGTTTACGACTTTTTTTCGGAATTAATTCCAACATATCAAAATTTCTGGTTACCAAAAACATTTTTTTTTCTTGAAATATGACAACTTGCAAAAACTTGTAAAACAAAATCTGATTTTTTTTCTTTAAATCTGTCTTTTATTCTTGTATATCACAATTTTTTCTGGATATTTTTTTTTCCTGAATGACTTTTACGTGCAGTAGCCTACATGTAATATAAGAACTTTTGTCCCTTTTAAGAAAATTTCCATTGAAGCCACCCTCCTCACTAAAAAGCAGCAGTTCTTCCATTTCAATGTTTTCCACAAATTATTAGTCTCTAAAGGAAATGCAAGAAAATTGCAGGTTTTATTAGTCAGGTCCCACGGAATTTTGCCGGCACCTCTCAGTTTGATATACTGCAGCGCCTCTTCAATTTCGAGCCCAATAACAAACACAATGTTCCATCAGACCCTCGCTGAAGATGCCACACAGTTAAAAATGAACATCATCATAATTATCACACAACCCCACACCCCCACCCGTCCCTAATATTGTGGCATGTGGTGATAGCTGACACATGCCGAGCTATTAAATGGGTCAAGGATGCTGATAATTGTTCCAAATGAAAGCCTCCACCATCTTGAGGCCTGCACCTGATAGTGCTGGGGCGGGTGGATGGAGATGGGGGTACATCATGCGCACCTCCACTAAAATGCATCACTTTGCTCCATTGTTGTGAGCCACAGACTGGGGCAAGGAAGGGGGGGAAAAAACACCTCATCCCATTCAACAAAGAAAAAACAAACACAGTAAATACTCACGGTGATTCACACGAGGGTCCAGATATAAAGGGAAGCCACTTGGAATTTTCCTTCCAGGGAAAAGGGATGATGCCACTCCCTGGGCTGGGGGGGATGTAAATATGGATGCTTAGAGTGGCAGAAGGGGAGAGTCCGCCGCGTGGATCCGTTTGACGGGCTAGCACTTAGCTTCCCGAAAGCGAGCATCGAAAAACGACCTGAAGTCTCCCCAAGGTGTCGTTTTCGCACCCTGCAAATCGTCTGTCCGACTTTTTGCCCGCGACCGCGAACGCATCAGAAGCAACTTTTCTTTCTTCGTCTCTTCCCAAAAGGCACCACCCGTCTTCGCGTGACTTCCTCCGGGGCTCTTTTCCCTCGCCCACTCGCTTGTGGGTTTTCTCCTCGGTGCTTTGCTGCTGTTGTTGTGATTATTGGGGGATGAGCGCAGCCTCCCCGTAACCGACTCAACCCACACCGGCGAGACGGAACAAAGGGAGCCGGGGAAGCAGAGCCTCCTGGGGGCCGGATCAGAAGACTACAGCCTGTACCCCTCCTCCCTCCAAGCCAATAGCGCGCTCCCTTTAAAAAATGTGGAGATTTGAACCATCCATTACTTTTTGGCAAACATACGCACGCCACAACTTTAGGCTGACAACGTTTAGATTCATTTTCACCCGCCGCATATTTCAGCGTCGTTGTAATTATGAAAATTGTAACACGCAGACATTATACCCGTAAATGATGCCTTCATTCACGCTCTTTTTGCGTGAGTAGTTCAACCGGAAGCATCCAGTATAAGCACTAACAAATACACTCAGTTTGTCTAATAAAGACGCCATTATGGGAGTCAACTCAGGCCGAATTAAAACACAAAATGAAATGTGTTCATAGATTGTCATAAAATGATGTGACATAAACATAAATCGTACAGAAGAAATGGACTCTTAAAACTAAGAGATTTGGATCGGAATTTGGTGTCGACAAATTTGCTCAAGAACATAATGTTTACGTATGTGTGATACAGCAAATTTATTCAAATTTTCGTCACCAAGGCGCTGCTGCCAACACCCAAAATATTGACGCGAGGTGAGATTCACTCTCATATTTAACTTTCACGAAAACGCGATATTGCAATCGTTAACCAAATCTTGCATGATACACTTCCGGGCCGGCGTGATTTAGAACACCCTGATTGGCCAGTGGAACCACGACGCGCTGCGATTGGTCAATTCCTCCTTTTTTTTTTGAGGGGGTGATTGATGTGGCCACGCCACTGTCTCCGCGCACAATTACGTGCCTTGTCTTTCTACGTCACATCCGTTTAAAAAAATCGTTTTTGTTCAGTTTTAGACGTTATTTCGTTGTATCCGATCCTGTAAAGTTAACAAATTTGTGAATTAAAAATGAAAAGTAAAAAATATTTTGATGCATGCATTGTCCTAATCTTTTTTTTTCCAAGTGCAGTTTCCTCAAATGTCCCATAAAGGTCAGCAAAAACCAGGAAACTGGTGGTTGGATACCTGGCCGTGTTATGTAGTACCCGGCCATCATCTCTTCTTGTAATGCAACAAAACAATACTACTAATAATTAAGACAAAGAAACAAACAAACATGCATAGAAATGTACCTAACATGTAGCTTTATTAACTAGTTAGCTGGTAGCTAGCCAGTCAGCTCCCACAGCCAGGTGAAAGTTGAATGCATCGGAAGCTACCTACATAGTGTCATGCAAAAGAAATTAGGGCCTCTTTGGCTTGCCATCATTGCTTAGGACCTTTCAACCTAAAACCCACCCCTAACATATCTTACTCGTGACCAGTCTTTACAAAAAGAAAGTATGGACTTTATTACCCTAGATCCTTTGCAGCAGCAATATTTAAAGTAATTGGAAATGGGGTTCACCGCAGTTTCATGTCTTTCTTACTCACTGTCACGCAATGTCGCTGCTTATGAAAAGTGGTGTCTCATATAAATGGTGAAAAAAATTTTAACATTCTGTGCACTGAATCCGAGCGCATTACTCTCAGTTGTCTGGGTCTGCGCGACTGTATTAAACTGCCTGAAATCATGTACAACTGTTTAATTCATCCACCCATCCATTAATTCTCTGCCCACTGTATTTAAGGGGGAAAAAAACAGTTTTGTGACGGGAAGGAGGTTAGAATATTTTGAGGGAAAAATGTATTTTGAAGAATAACTATGGCATGTGTTGATGTTTTTGAAAAAAATAAAAACAAAACAGGAGCATATTTTTGAAAAAGTTCATATATCTTATATTTTTCTGTTGAAAAAAGCAAAAAGCTAACTTTATGTATTTGCTAACATAAATAAATGTTGTGCTCCTGAATTCTAATGAAATGTATGCTTTTATCAGTGTTTAATGATTTGTATTTTTGTGAGAAATAATAGTCTAGAACAAGGCAAAATGGCTGAATGTTGTTTTTTTCCCCCTGCTTCTTCTCTTTTTCATCACAACATTTCGGGATAATAACGTCCCTGTTCCGTTTCCCAATAAAGGCCTCAGTGTCTCCAGCGTTGCATGCGGGATTATTCCTCTTTTTTTTTCTAATCCCATTACGGCACCGCGTGAGGGCGACCAGGGGAAGGTGGCAAAGGTTGTTTTGTTTCGCCAATGAGAGAATGATTAACTGGCGCGTGTGTTCGACAGGAGGTGAAGGCCCGGATGACGACGCCCGGCATCTGAAGAGGATGAGGATGCCACACACGAACACGCACGCGCGCGCGGACATCCATTGTACTGCCTTTCAAATCCACCTGCTTCCCAAAATGCATTAAAAGTCTTAAATAGTGACTTTTAGCGTCGGGTTGTACGGCCGCAATTATAGTGAATTGGACAGAAAAAGTCTGAATTCTTTTTTTTTTTTTTACTGGAAAGAAGCACGGGCCACGGGAACAACTGAAGTAAGTTTTTTTCCACCCTATTTTACAGCATAAAGTTTTAAAAAGCTACAATAGAGACAAGAGTTACAATGTGATGTAAGCATATTTGCGATGTTGGACATTATACAGTAAACTGAGACATGTTTTAGCAAGCACCTGTGTCTAATCCGTATTTTATAATTTCGTTTTATTAAAGTAACGTTTCGTAAATCGTATTCTTTGGAAGCTAAAGATATCAAAAGACAAGATTTCTCATAACACCAAAAAGTTCACCAAAGCCAATTCTGGTCTTAAAAAAATAAAATAAAAATTGTGCTCAGTTGTCAACCGCAATCATTTTGGGACGTCAAAATGGACGCCAAGACAGATGTTCAGACTGTGTAACTAGCTACCTGAGTGCTCGTAAGCAACAAAAAGTTGGATAGTTAGTTGCTCATCGCTGGTTATCTACAGGAAGCTTGCAAATCGTTCAAGACAGCTGTCACTTCTGTATGTTTTTCTGAAAATGGATCCATCAATTGATGTGTCTAATATCTAGCGAGCCTGCAAATTGCCAATGGTTATTTAGCAACAAAAACAGAAAAACTGACACTAAATAATAGCTAATTGCTAGACAGATTCAAAAAGCTGGTGGTGGTAGCTGGTAATTGTAACCCTCTGTCATTTACTTAACTCTAGCTCGTTAAGTGAGGTGCTTGCCAGTTAACTTACAACATACCCAAGCGCTTGACAGCTTGCAGCCAACTAGCAACTCACCCGTGAAAGTAGGAATGCAGATTGGTAACTAGTTAATTTCTAGCCAATTAGCTACCCACAGCTACTATGGAATCTTCTCAGAATGGATGCCATGACTGCATTTGTTCACAAAAACCTTGGCACCTCAGGAGATATTGTTAATTACTTAGTTGTACTAATGTACAAGTTACTAATCTTGTAGATTAGTAGCTCTTTAGTTACTAGCTAGCTAGTCAGTTAGCGATAGCACATAATAGTAGTGATGAATAACCAATGAGCTACGAACTGTGAAGTTTCACAAATCTTGCTTGCTCGTGAGCCTCCATTCATTGACATACAGGTTAGCAATTATAACATCTGGTCAGCCATCGATGTATTTATTTTCCATTTGTTCCTGTCTTTCCCCAGGAGTGTTTGGTTTCCATGGCCTCTGCGGGTCTGGAGCTGGTGGGCTTCTTCCTGGGCCTGCTGGGTCTACTGGGCAGCCTGGTGTCCACGGCGCTCCCCTTCTGGGAAAATACGGCACACGTCGGCTCCAACATCGTGACTGCGTCGGGCAGCGTGAAGGGGTTGTGGATGGAGTGTGTCCATCAGAGCACCGGGGCCTTCCAGTGCGAGACGTACAATTCCATCCTGGCTCTGTCCTCTGACCTGCAGGCGTCCCGGGCCCTCATGGTGGTCTCTCTGGTGCTGTCCACCCTTGGCCTGGCCATCGCTGTCCTCGGCATGCAGTGTACTGTCTGCCTGGAGGGTTCAGGGGAGCTCAAGAAACGGGTGGCGGGCGTGGGCGGGTGCTTCTTCCTCGCGGCCGGCTTCATGACGCTGGTGCCCGTCTCCTGGACCACCAACAAAGTGATACAGAACTTCTACAGTCCCAGTGTACCCGCCACTCTCAAGTTCGAGCTGGGCGACTGCCTCTACTTGGGCGTAGTCTCGGCTGTGCTCTCTATGCTGGGGGGCGGCATGCTGGCGGTGTCTTTCTGTGAGGGGCACGAAGGTGGAGGACACCGGGGGAGGCGGTATGGGGGTGGAGGCTACCCGTACCCGGGGGGCGGAGGCGCTGCACCAGTGGTACGGAATCCCACCACCCTGCAAATGGGAGGCATCAGTGTGGACAGGAGAGGGCACACGTTGATTCAAAGCGGGAGCGGGAGCTCTGCGGGAGTCCATGTGAAACCTGTAAAGGCAGGATATGATGTCACAGGATACGTGTGATCTCCCAAGGACATGAGTGATTTATTCATGTTTCAGACTGACTGTGATATATATTTTTTTTAATGAAATAAATGGTGGTTTGAAGAGTGTTCAGACTTTTGAGAGAACTGTCTCAAATGCTGAAGCTATGCAACTCACGTGCTCACTAGTTATTATAGGTGGATAATGCTACTTAGTCATTTGTGTTGAAACAAAGAGCTAATTTTATGCTACTTACGTGCGGGCCACTTGCCATCTTGCTAACTAAAACGTTGCTGTTCTGCTACTGATATGAGCCATATTTGCTGTGGCTTTGGACAAAACTAGGTGGAATTTCATATCGCGCCAAAATGCTAACATTATGCTACTAACGAATAAAAGCTAGTTACGATGCACGGCTCTGGATCAAGCTTTGAGGTCATCCACCTAAAATGCTAACATTATGTGGCTAACGTGGGGACTCGTTGATGCATCTCCCTGAACTAACATACAATTTTAAAGTACACATTAAAGTCCATTCAAGAGCAACAACTGACCTACAAACAGAAAGCAGACAAAAACAACACACACGCTAGCGAAAAGGATCAATAATGGACGTGTGATGACTCAACTGAACCAACATCAGGGGCCACATTTACAAAGAGAGTCAGAGTCCTCCTAGACCGAGAGCTCCTAAATTAGGCCAGGAACACAAATAATCTGGTTGATTTTGTCTTTATGGGTGCGGGGTACTGCGTTGAGATGATGTTCTTGTCTGCTAGCTTAAACCAAGGATGCATCGGCTGCGTTGAGATGGTGTTCCTGTCTGCTAGCTTAAACCAAGGATGCATCGGTTGTTGACTTGTGACAACTTGGCTACCATTCCTTGGAAGTATGTTCCAGAGTACAAATTTAGGAAGACCGTACCGTTCTTGAGATTGAGAAACGGCTATGATCTTTGCAAGAAGGCGTGGATGATGCAGTTGCCATGTGATCTGATGCAATTTGAACCGCTTTTGAAAATGTTTGAACGTATCTTCTTCACATAGAAATTGAGCCTTGCAATGTCACAGGCCCACGTTTGGTTTGAAATTGCCGCTGGTGTTTTGCCAACACCATCTCTGTTGGACAAGGAGTTAAAAGGCCAAGATGGATGTATCGTTTCTGTATCAGCGACCCAGCCTGAAAACTGATTTCAGCTACTATCCGTGATCGTGTTCGACCACAGCTAATAGATGGACGGGCAAACTGAAAGCTAGGCCTTTCAGTTCAGCTCCATCTTTGTTACGAGAGCGCGCACATCAAGCGCAGGATGCATTACTGCATTGCGGAGTAAATGAGGTTCAAAACAGGAAACAAGGTGGACACAAATGGACGATAGAGAATTTACAGGTCATAGGTCAATGTTTTATGTTGAGAGGGAAGAAATTTCATCTGTGCTGTATGTTACACATACGTACAGCACATTTGACAATAAAGTTCAATTCAATTCAACATAGAGCAGAGGCGTCAACATGTTTTGTTTATTTCAAAGCAACTTCGAGAGTCATAAATACACATAAAGTGAAATAAAGACTACAAAAGGAACACATCAAACAGCGATGAGCATGACCCAATAAAGACATCAAGACATGCGCCTCATATAACAACACGCCCCAGCTGAACAGGAGAACCATTCGTTTCAAAAGCATTAGGCTGACACTTTGTTTGGCTTCGTTTTTGGACGGATTTGAGTCAAGCGTGAGTATCATTTCAAAAAGTTTGCAGTCGTCAAGAGTCATTTTGGGACGTTTTGTAGGAAAAAAAGCAACAAAAAAAAAGTCACACCTAAAATCCTGACCCCGACTGTCTTTCAGATGTTAGCCAGGAATTGGTTCATTTTTTGCAGTTTTTCAGTTTCACAATTTGTGATATTTGTCACAGGAAAATGATTCTGGGTCCGATAACGCTAGCCAAATGTAAACAATCTTTCAAATGTTAGACAAATTTACATCTAGTTGACCTCGATTCATCGCCGTCCAAGTTAGCATTTTTCGCAGGTGGTCAGCCAGCTGTGTCGACGCAGTTCTCATTTGCTCCTTTGTCGCCTCAGGACTGATCGATTGCAATGGCCTCTGGGCCTCTGGAGCTGGTCGGCTTTTTCCTGGGCTTGATTGGCCTACTGGGCACCCTGGTGACCACGGTGCTCCCCTACTGGGAGGTCTCGGTGGACATCGACACCAAATTTCTGGGGGTGATGGACACCAACATGAATGGCCTGTGGATGAAATGCTTCAACAAGGTGAACGGGGCCATCATGTGCGAAATGCACAAGGCCTTCCTGATGCTGCCCTACGATGTCCAGGTTTCCCGGGTCCTCATGTTGGGCTCCCTGGGGCTGTCCCTTGTGGGCCTGCTCGTCGCCGTCGTGGGCATGCAGTGCACCGTCTGGCTGGAGAGATCGCTGGTGCTCAAGAGGCGGGTGGCAGGCATGAGCGGGTGCTTCCTCCTCGTGGCCGGCCTGGCGTCGCTGGTGCCCGTCTCCATGAGTGCCAGCAACGTGATCCGGAACTTCAACATGGTCGCCGCCACACTCAAGTACGTGCCGGGCAGCTGCCTCTACTTGGGTATAACCTCGGCTGTGGTCTCCATACTCGGCGGCGGCATGTTGGCCGCGTCCTTCTACGAGGGGCAAGAGTGCGGAGGACGCCGGGGCGCCTACACGTACAAGGGCGACGGCAGCGGTGATATTCCGTTGGCGGTGGCGCGGAACACCGGCACCCTGCAAATGGGCGTGAACAGCAGGGGGCAGACGCTGGTTCGAAGTGGCGCCGGGAGCTACGTGGGAGTCCATGGGAAACCCGGAGGGTCAGCATATGATGTCACCCGTTATGTGTGAAGATGTGATGTCATACATAAAGTGTTGATTTCAGCACAATTGATCAACGCTCCTTGCCAGAGTTAAATTAAACTGTTTTGGTTTTTTTTTTGTTGTTGAATAAAGGGCTCCTCCCTCGTTACAGACTGTTGTTATATTTGTCAACCGTGGGCTTGTAAAGCCGTTGAGACTCTTTTGTGATCGAACTTTTGAGGAACTAATGCTATGCTACTAACGTGGGCGCTAGTTACGATTAATGGACTTTTATATTTATTTTCCGAAGGGAAGAACTTCTTTGAAATTAGAATAATTTGAACATCAACCAGGTTCATTCTGGAGGCTGCACTGTACTGGGTGGTGAGATCATGATTTGGAATAATGAGAGCCTTGTCTAAATTCCACAAATTCCAGGACAGTTGGAGGGGGGGTTAACCACTGCCCCCCCTTTTTTAGCTAGACCCATTCATAAAAAAACTAATTGGTACATTTTCTAATCCCACTCTAATCCCATGGGCCAACATAATGGACCTAAATACATCATCTAGTGTCTAAAAGAAAAATGAGAAAGATCCCAAGTTTTTGAAAGATCGCCACGACCCAACAATTCATAATTGATGAGGAACATGCATAAAAAAAACTCCCATAAAACTGTCAATCGTGGCTACTTCTAAGAAGTTTGTATTTACTTTTCACGTCCTCGTTTCCCGTTGGTCGGCTTCCGTTCGCTCGCGGCCAAACTCCAACACCAAAGGTTTCCCGAGCAACCGGTAACCATGGAGCAGTTGCAAAGCATCCTGGGCCGTTTCGGTGTCTCCATTTCCAAACACACACACACACACACACACACACACACACACACACACACACACACACACACACACACACAGACTTAAGTACACTGTGCAATGAACTTTAGTTTTGACAGCAGCCAGCGCGTACTCACCGGGCAGCGTGACAAAAGCCTGACCCTTCATGCGTCCTGTCAGGAGGCGATACAGCAGCGGGGATCTGTCGCTGGCCCCCTCGAACCTGGAGAACAGCGCCACCAGCTGGGCCACTGATGCATGCGGGCTCAGGTTCTTCACGCACACCACCTGGAAAGACAAATCTCAATGACTAAATAGCAGGGATAAAATTGCATCTTAAAGGTTTAAAATAAACAATTAAAATCCAAACATATTAAAATTAAATAGGCAGTGAGTTTTTTTTTTTTCACATGCCACAATTTCACCAAGGAACTATGTGGAAGTGATATGAGAAGCTTTATGCAGTGCTCTGCCAGCATCTTTCAGCAATTCTAAACCATTTAATTCTCGCGGATTTTGGATACGAATCGCGGGCAGATGTATTGCTGAAACAAATTCAACGGCCATACCCGCGAAGGTTTTCCAGGCTGGTAGTTCCGGAATCTCGGAATGCTCCGGATCCCTTCCTCACTTTCCCGGTTCTCCCGGATTTCCTGGTCCGTCACGGTCGCCACTCGCCCCGTGACAGTGAGCGGCCGACCCGAGTCGGCCCCCTCCGCCCCGCGCAAGCTACCGATTGGACGGCTGATCTCCAGCGGGGGAGCAGGATGGTCCTCGGGCGGTTCTGGTGAGCCTTCCTCTGATTGGCTGTCGCCTCCTTGCCGCGAGTCATGTGACGGCGCGGATGCAGAAAGGCCTAACGTTTGGGCAGCTTCGACGCCCTGGGGCGACTTGCTGAGAAGATCTCTGTACAGGGAGTCCATTGGATCTGTAGGTGTCGCCCCTTGTAGGCTATCTTGGTTATTTTCATCTGGAAGGGGGAGAAAAGACATTTGCATGTGGTCAAAAAATGTGTGTTCATTATCTTTGTTCACGAATGCCTGCAGTTGATTAAATAGATGACAGCCCCTGAGCATTACCCTTACCTCGATGGTAGAGTGCAGCGAGGAAACCTTGCCGGTCGCTACCCTGGAAGAGCGCCTGCTCGATCTCCATCTCGCGACGGGACAGTGGCCGGCTGGCGGCGAAGCGCTGAGGCCGCGCTAGGAGCTCCGCCCGGGCTGCAATCTTGTCCCGGATGGCCTGGAGGCGCTGCCGCTTGACGTCAGGAGCCGCGCAAACGCCGTGACACTGGAACAAATATAGGGTCGGAAAATTCTGACTTCCCACGGAAGTTGACCAGGAATGTTCCACCCCAGACTGATGAGAAACCTCCAAGTGGCACAATGACCCCTACTTGCTCAGATACTTCTGGGGCATCCCTATTTTGCCACAGCTGGATCTCGGGGTCGGTGAGGCCAAGCTCCCGCAGGCCGGCCAGCTCCTGCTCATCCTCTTGCAGCGTCTGGAACTGAGACAGGCTTCGCACGCCAGACACCTGCTCGCCAAACGGATAGTAGAGCGCCGCTGGGGCAAAGCTCCGCTTCTTGGCCACACATCTGAACCACAACATACATACTGTGAAAAAAATGTATTCATTGAAGAGATGACAACACTTCTTACTACTGCGGTCAAGCCAGCCTCCACTCGCAAAATTGAAGGCAAGTGAGCCGCCACCGCGATTGTCAGTGCTCTGCATTACGGTAATCTGCCGCCAGCGAGTTGCGTTGGCCACCTTCAAAATAAAAGCGTCTCCACCAATGCATAAACGTCATTTGATTGGGTGAAAAGAAATTAATAAAAATATAAAATAAGTAAATTCTTGGCTGTCAGGTAATGATTCAAGGAGGGAGAACAAGAACTCTCAGAACAGCACTAACAAGCGTTCTCAAGTGGAGATAGAAAATAAAGTCAATGGTAATTGTACATCAATTTCACAAAATATAAAAAAAATCATTAAAAAAAATCATGAAAACAATCAATCTGGGTGATTGCGCAACCACACCAGGTTGTCGATACACTAGGGCACGCCAGGTATACAACCACAGTACTGGCATTCAGATCGAATGTTCCAATGTTCCATCACCAATTAAAATGCCTCTCAAATATGACATTGTGAGCTTCTCTCCTTATTTCAAAAGATTCTTAAAAATGAATTTCAGTTATCCCTCAATCAAACCAGGCGTGTGGGACACGAGAGCACTCCAGGTATCCAACCAGACCACCCTCATTCGGATCTGATGTCCTCTGAAAAGTGACAAGATGGCCTGCGTTCTGACATGACCTGCATTCTAACATGATGATCTTTTCGCCCATTTTTAGAACATCCGAAAAGAAGGAATCCAGCACCCTGGCTCTTCACCCAGACCACCCTCGTCCGGATCCGATGTTGAATTTTGAAATAAAAGTCCTCTGAAAACTGGCATGTTGACCTGATTTCTGACAAGTTGGCCTGGAGGTCTGGGGGAAAATATGCCCTTATTCCCGAAAAGTTGGCCTGAACGCCTAACATTTGGACATTTTCGACCGTTTTTAAAAAATTATTAAAAAATAAACCTTCATTATCCCGTTACCTTCGTTATCCCGTGAGGGCCGTAGGTCTGGGGGTAACTACAGCCCCCCGGTTATCCAACCCGATCAGTCTGGTACGAATCCGATGTTGCATTTGGGAAAAAAACGCCTCCGAAAAGGGAAAATATGCCCTTATTCCCGAAAAGTTGGCCTGAACGCCTAACATTTGGACATTTTCAACCGTTTTTAAAAAATTATGAAAAAATAAGCCTTCGTTATCCCGTGAGGGCCGTAGGTTTGGGGGTAACTACACCTCCCTGGCAATCTAACCCGACAAGTCCCGTCCGAATCCGATGTTGTATTTGGGAATAAAACGCCCCTGAAATGGGAAGAGAGGACCTTATTCCCGAAAAGTTGGCCTGAACGCCTAACATGTGGACATTTTCGACCGTTTTTAAAAAATTATTAAAAAATAAAGCTTCGTTATCCCGTGAGGGCCGTAGATCTGGGGGTAACTACAGCCCCCCAGCTATCTAATCCAACCAGTCTGATCCGAATCCGATGTTGCATTTGGGAATAAAAGGCCTCCGAAGAGGGAAAATATGACCTTATTCCCGAAAAGTTGGCCTGAACGCCTAACATGTGGACATTTTCGACCGTTTTTAAAAAATTATTAAAAAATAAAGCTTCGTTATCCCGTGAGGGCCGTAGGTCTGGAGGTAACTACAGCCCCCCGGTTATCCAACCGGACCAGTCTGGTACGAATCCGATGTTGCATTCGGGAATAAAACGCCCCTGAAATGGGAAGAGAGGACCTTATTCCCGAAAAGTTGGCCTGAACGCCTAACGTGGACATTTTCGACCGTTTTTAAAAAATATTAAAAAATAAACCTTCGTTATCCCGTGAGGGCCGTAGGTCTGGAGGTAACTACAGCCCCCCGGTTATCCAACCCGAACAGTCTACTGACAGAATACTGTGTATTCATTTTTTATTGCATTTATGTGTGCTTTAGGTTATTACCTGCTTCTGCAACTACTACAACTACTACTTCTGCTGCAAAGTGCTCCAACAAATGTGTCAAAAAAGTGCAGAATGAGTGATCCCAATTCAGGGGCGTTTTATTCCCAAATACAACATCAGATTCGGACCGGACTTGTCGGGTTAGATAGCCAGGGAGCTGTAGTTGCCCTCAGACCTACGGCCCTTACGGGATACTGAAGGTTTATTTTTTAATGATTTTTTAAAAACGGTCAAAAATGTCCACATGTTAGGCGTTCAGGCCAACTTTTCGGGAATAAGGTCATATTTTCCCATTTCAGGGGCGTTTTATTCCCAAATACAACATCGGATTCGGACCGGACTTGTCGGGTTAGACAGCCAGGGAGCTGTAGTTGCCCTCAGACCTACGGCCCTTACGGGATACTGAAGGTTTATTTTTTAATGATTTTTTAAAAACGGTCAAAAATGTCCACATGTTAGGCGTTCAGGCCAACTTTTCGGGAATAAGGTCATATTTTCCCATTTCAGGGGCGTTTTATTCCCAAATACAACATCGGATTCGGACCAGAGTGGTTGGGTTGGATAGCCGGGGGGCTGTAGTTACCCCCAGACCTACGGCTCTCACGGGATAACGAAGGTCTATTTTTTAATAATTTTTTAAAAGCGGTTTAAAATGTCCACATGTTAGGCGTTCAGGCCAACTTTTCGGGAATAAGGTCCTCTCTTCCCATTTCAGGGGCGTTTTATTCCCAAATACAACATCGGATTCGGACCGGACTTGTCTGGTTAGATTGCCAGGGAGCTGTAGTTACCCCAGACCTACGGCCCTCACGGGATAACGAAGCTTTATTTTTTAATGATTTTTTAAAAACGGTCGAAAATGTCCACATGTTAGGCGTTCAGGCCAACTTTTCGGGAATAAGGTCCTCTCTTCCCATTTCAGGGGCGTTTTATTCCCCAATACAACA